ATAGCCCCATAGCCCCATAGTCCTACAGCCCTATAGCCCTATAGCCCTAGCCCTACAGCCCCATAACCCTATAGCTCGATAGCCCTATAACATTCTAGCCATATAGCGCTAGAGTCCTCTAGCCCCATAGGCAAATAACGCTATAGCCATTTAGCCATATAGCCCTATGGCCCTATACCCCCATAGACCTACAGCCCGTTAGCCCTATGGCCCTACAGCCCTATAGCTTTATATACCTTATAGCCCTATAGCCAAATATCGCTATAGCCCGATGGCCCAATAGCCCTATATCCCTATAGTTAGCCATGTTTCCATGTTGCGAGACAGCCCCATAGCTCAATAGCCTTATAGCCCCATAACAACAACAAATATGATTGTTTCTTTTCTCTTGTGTTCTATACTAATTTTGTAACCGGGCCTACATACACTTTCGCATTGGGGCATCAGGGAGCCTGAACGCCGTCGCAACAGGGCGCCCGGACACCTGGACACCCAGACGTCCGGGCACTCGGACACCCGGACACCCGGACACCCGGACGCCTGGACACCCAGGCACCCGGAGACCCGGGCACCCGGACACCCGGGCACCCGGACACCCGGACACCCGGACACATGGACACCCGAGCACCGGGACACCCAGACACCCGGACACCAAGGCACCCGGGCACCCGGACACCCGGACACCCGGAAACCCGGACACCCGGACACCCGGACACCCGGGCACCCGGACACCCAGGCACCCGGGCACCCGGGCGCCCGGACACCCAGGCACCCGGACACCCGGACACCCGGGCACCCGGACACCCGGACGCCCGCCCGGACGCCCGGACACCCGGACGCCCGCCCGGACGCCCGGACACCCGGACACCTGCGGGCACCCGGACACCCGGACACCCGGCCACCCGGACACCCGGGCACCCGGACACCCGGCCACCCGGACACCCGGACGCCCGCACACCCGGACACCCGGACACCCGGACACCCGGACACCCGGGCACCCGGGCACCCGCGGGCACCCTGACACCCGGGCACACCCGGACACCTGGACACCCGGACACCGGGGCACCCAGACACCCGGGCACCTGGGCACCCGGACACCCGGACACCCGGACGCCCGGACACCCGGCCACCCGGACACCCGGACACCCGGACACCCGGGCACCCGGACGCACCCGGGCACCCCGGCTGTTAAAAGTCACTTCCTTCACTAAATTTTCCAGATCTTCAGTTTTCGATGATTCAAGTGTCGTTTCGTCGCTGCGCCGTCGTTTCGCCCCTCGTCGGGCCGCGCGTCGTCGTTTCGCGTTTCGCCCCTCGCCCCTCGTCGTTTCTCCCCTCGCAGCGGCGGCGGGGGCGACGGGCGACGGGCGACGACGACGACCAACGACCCACGACCCCACGACCGACGTCCGACGAAGACGACGACCGACGACCGACGGCCGACGACGACGTTGACCGTTGACCTCCTCCTTCTTCCCTCCTCCCTCCTTCCTTTCCAACTTTCCACCCTCCTTCCTCCCTTTCTTCCTTTCCTCCTTTGCCTCCTCCCGCCTCCCGCCTTCCTTTCCCTCTCCTCCCTCTCTGCTCTCTCCGCCTCTTCTCCCCTCTCTCTCCCCTCCCCCTGCCCCCTGCACTCTTGTCCTCCTCTCTCTCCTCTCCCCCCTCCCCCCTCCCCCCTTTCCCCTTTCCCTCCTTCCCCGCCCCCCAATCCCCAACCCCCAGCCCCCAGCGGCTCTGGCGGCTGCCGCGCGCCGCGCGCGCGCGGCGCCGCGGCGCCCGCGCCTGGCCGCCCTCGCGCGGAGGCGCCGCGGCGCCGCCGCCCGAGGGGGGAGGGGAGGACGACAGATGACAGATGAGGTGGGAGGAGGGAGGAAAGGAGGAGAAGGGCGGCAGATGAGGGATGAGGTGGGAGGAGGGAGGAGGGAGGAGGGAGGACGGCGTGAGGAGAGGAGGGAGGAGGGACGGAGGGAGGAGGGACCGTCGCAGCGAGGCGGGGGGCGGGGGGGTGAGGCGTGAGGCGGGAGGAAGGAGGGTGTATCGTGTATCGTATCGCAGCGAGAGAGAGAGAGAGAGAGAGAGGAAGAGAGACAGGAACAAAAGAAGGGGCCGTCGCAGCGAGGGAGGCGGGAGTGGAGGAGTGAAGGACCCTTGACCGCCCCTGCGTCCTGCGTGACCCTGCGAGAGAGCGAGAGAGAGAGAGGTTGTCTCGTGTGGCTTCGTGTAAGCGTGGAAGGAAGGAGAGAGATAGAGCGAGAGAGAGAGAGAGGCCGACTAAGGAGGGAGGAGGAATAGTAGGATAAGTTGGGAGATGAGGAGGGAGAAGGAAGGGAGGTAGGAGGGAGGGAAGCGGGAGGAGGCCGAGGAGGGAGGAGGGAGGAAGAGTAGGCTGAGTAGGAGTCGGAGTTGGAGTCGGAGTCGGGATCGGGATCAGACTAGGGACTAGGAGTCGGAGTTGGAGTCAGGATCGAATGAGGAGGGGGTCGGAGGTCGGAGGAAGAGGGGATCGCCGATCGCCGATCGCCGCTGCGCCAGGCTCCCATATTATTATAAGGTGTTCTTCTTCCTCCAGGTCTCGTCATTCCTCGAGGTTCCCGAGGATCCTAGGATGGCCCGATGCCCACCGCCCACCCGCTTTGATGCGTCGAATGTACAACTGCCCCTTTACCTCCTGCCCCTCTCCTCCCTCCTACCTCCTGTCACATGTACCCTTTACTTCCTGCCTCCTGCCTTATTTTCCCTCCTCCACCCGTTGCCTCTGGACCTTCTCCCCCCTCCCGCCCCCATTGGTCCAATTGTGCAGCGTCTCCCAGGATCGACGATGGACCGTTTAGTGGTTATTATGCTCCTGAGCAGGGCTACGAGCAGCAAGAACGCGTCTCGAGATACATTTATAAGCAGCGCTGCTGACGCAACGTTCGTTCGGGATGCAGGCCCAATGGGATTGAAATTTATATTGGGCCCCGCATTTCCTTTCCATTCCCTCAACCTCGTTCCCATCCGCTTCCCAACCCCCTCCTCTTCTCCACCCTCCATCCTCAATCCACCATCCCCATCCGCCATCCGCCCTCCACCCTCAACCCTCCATGTCCATTTCCCTTCGCCGCCACCCGCCACCTACGCTGCCTTCCTCTTACCACCCGTCCCCATCGGCCCTCCACCCACCCTTTCAACTCTCCCGCTCCCCCTCGAGGGTTGGGGAAGATGGCGAGGGCTGAGCGGGTGCCCTCCTGGCAGCTGGCAGAGGAATCCTCGAGGGGAGCCGTCGAGGCGTCGAGGGGAGGGGCGCATCCAGCCTCCAGGAGGAACCCTTGGGGAGAGCCGGCGATGATGATGATAATGATGATGATGCTGATGATGATGATGATGATGATGATGATGATGAGGAGGAGGAGGAGGAGGAAAAAGTGGAGGAGGAGGATGAGGGTGAGGAGGAGGAGGCGGAGGAGGAGGAGGGGGAGGGCGCCCCCCCCCATCTGTGACCTCGAGGGAAGCCGTCGAGGGGAGCGACGCCAGCCCCGTCATCTTTCGAAGGATCGTCGCCTGATCCTGGAACGATTGAGACGGGGCGAGTACTGTTTAGCCAAGAGCGTTCTGAGGTATGCAGGTTATCGCCCGCTCCCTGAGCCCTAATCCTTGTCAATGGCTACCCAGCGGGGGGCGCGGTGCGAGTGGGGACTGCCCGGCGGTGCGCCGTTAGTGACCCTCGCACCTTTGCTCCCCGGCCCCGCGCACGGCGCGGAGTGTGTCCGATGGGCGCGGCTAATGGCGGTTGCAAGGTGCGCCCCTAGCCGCGTTCGAGGTCCCGCTGAGGCACCATAGACTCTGTGGCGCCCCAGGCTGTGCCCAGGAGGAGGAGGGAGGAGGAGGAGGAGGATGGGGGGAGAGGGGAGAGGGGAGTCGGCGCGGTGTTTGAAATCTGGGCCCTTCCCCCTTCCCGCCGCCCGCGCCTCCAGGCAGGGGCAGATTTGCCAGGGCGATCGCCTCGGCTCGGCCAGCTCGTAAGAGCGACGATGGGGGGAGGGAGATGGGAGGGGATGGGGGATTGGGAATCGGGGGCGAGGACGGGGGCCCCAATAACCACCCTTTGTTGCCAACCCACAGGTATTGGATTCGGGGCCCGCGGCGACGGGGAAGAATTTGGTACTTTCGTTTCTGGCGTGCTTCTGGTGCGAGTCCCTGCGAGGAATCTTTCAATTGAGTTGGATATTGGCAGTCCTGAGGTGCGGTGCGCGCTCAGGTCGTTTGGGGGCCCAGGTCATTCTCTTTGGCAATGTTCGGTCGAAGCTACCCGTACCTTGGAACCCGTGTCTCTTTCCAGCATCATTCATCAGGTTGATCTGAAAGTTCGGAAATCCTACTTGGCCCTCTACGGTGATGGTGCGCACGCGATGCTTACACATGATCGCGTTGCGGAGGCTCTTCAAACTCTTCGGAGTGAAGGTTTCAGTTTCGATACCAGTGAGTCTTGTGTATTCTGCCACATCCCGTCGCCTCCAATGGGCGACCTTATTCTTGGAAGGTATTTCAAACACCTATATTATTGGAATGGCGCAGCACATCGGTCTTCACATCAAGCCTTCAAGACAGCATTTGGCATCTCAGAAAGGCCAGCGGCAGTTCCAACTCCATCCGTCATTCCAGCACCACGCCCAGGGGCGAGCCAGCTTGGAGCAGTACAGTTGGAGTTAGTGGCGCAGACACTTCGCGATTGTTTCATGGCCCTCCCAGCAGCAGTCCAGCAGCAACATCGACAGCCAGTCTCCGACGCCATAAGGTTCCTAGCGCACTGCAGCGACGCGCTCCGAGACACTGGTAGGCATGCAGATTTCGAGCTTGGTTCCAGGTTGCACTCATCATCAAAGATCCTGCATGCGATATTCATTTCTACGAGGCTGCATGGGTCCATGCATCTAGAAAGTGTTATCGAGGAGGGTATCAGGTTCGCTGTGCACCCAGCCATCGCAGAGCCAATCGTTGCATCCCTGAGGGAACCAGGCAGCATGCCGTCACAGTCCACGATCAGCCGCTACTTCCTCACTTTGGACATCGCCCTTCTGAAGGAGGACCAGCGCAGATTCTCGTCGTTCACGGATGGTTCGAACCCTGCAGGTGCTGGTGTGGAGTATGCCCTCGCGGACGCCAGCCCGCTCCTCGGAGTGGACTGGCTCCTCTCGGAGACGTTCCGCTGTGCTGACCCGACCCGAGCTTTCGACATCTGCAAAGAGCTGCAGCACCACCGCCAAGATGCAGTCGACCTGGCCCGCGGCGCTTTGATTCTTGAGGATATCGACGAGGAGCGGCTTACGGATATCCAAGCTGCGTCGAGGCAGTACCAAAGTCTCACGAAGGAGCTCACGAACTTGTGGGAGCACCACCAGCTCACCGCAGTAGGATTAGGCAGCCAGGCCACCAACGTGCAAGACAAGATGCACGCGATCATGCACTCCTTCCGCCTCTCGGCCACCGACTGGGTGTCGTGCCAACGCCGGACGCAACGTATAGTATCATTTACGACTGACATGGGCACTGAGGCAAAACTTTCCAGCGCCATTGCTGCGAACGTGTCGGAGGTATTCCCCCACTGGGTCGACGTGAACATCGAAGCCGACGACGGGCGATTGGGCCTGGGCGGCGCGCCGCATGGCGACGGTGACTGCGATGCCGACCTTGACCTTGCTGGTGGCTTGCACGTTTCGGACGACCTCGGGGCTGTACCAGCACCGCATGTTGAACCCCTTGATGTTGCAGACTCCTTCCTCGAGGCCTTCGGGGACGCTGTGGATGACGACGGCATGATCGGAATCGAGCAGGGTGCGCTGGAAGCCGAAGATGACGACGGCATGCTCGGGCTGTCCCAGGATCTGCACGAACGAAATGGGCACGCAAAGAACGGGTACAATGCCCAGCAGCAGTTCCTGCTCATTCTGAGCAGGATTCGCTGTCCACGTCGCCGCGGCCTGTGTCCATTGTCCATTCGAGACAGGAGGCCGCCTGCCCAACAGCGGCCGCTGTTGTTCTGGGACAACATTTGTTGTTGGTCATTGTGCCCATTCTTTCCGTACCCATATCGGGCGTCCACACAGGACGCGCAGGAAGCCGCACCCGCTGGAGATTTTGAGTTCGACGTGGAGAACGATGACGGTGTCGATCCAGATGCAGACACGGCGCTACCTCCTCCGTTGCCAGCCTCAGCAGCGTCTGGATACGCTCCCGTTGCGCTCGAGCTCGCATCTCGCGGGTTTTTCGGAGGTAGCCTTCAGGTCGCTGGAGTACTGCACACGTGCAACAATGCGCTACAAGATGTGATGAACGCCTTCACCCAGAAAGAGTGGTATATGTCTCGTGTGAAACCGCTTATACGCCTTATCGCACACCCTTGGACAAAGAAGCGCCTGTTGGAGAGATGCTTTCATGCACCCGAGGCACAGCAGCACCACGCCGCCATCAACAAGCTCACGATTGTGCCCACATCTTGGAGATTTTCGTCCTATGTGCCTGCTCTACAGCAATTACAATTCGTGGAGCACGGAATGCGGGCGCATTGGAATCTATCCACTTACAACAAGCGCCCTGGGGATCAGCAGGACAGTGTTTCAGCTGCGGGCGAGGGTGAATCTCGACCTGCGCGACCTCCTCCAGAGGACGGCGGCGACGTCTCCGACGACGAGCTGAAGCTAGTCGACCAGGCTCAGGCACAACAAACGTCGGGCCGCTGGGCAACCACATCTCTCTAGCATTTTGCCTTCGGCGCCCTTGATCCCTTGATCTGCTGTGTCCAGTGGAAAGTTGCAGGCAATGTCTTTCCAGCGCTTGGGCCCCCCCCCCAAAAAAAAAAACTCTTCCTCAATAGTTCCTCATCCTTCATCCTCCGCCTCTGTTCCCCCTCCCCCTTCCTCCTCCTCCTCCTCCTTCCTCCTCCCTCCTCCCTCCTCCTACCCCATTCCTCCTTCCTCCTCCTCCTCCCTCCTTCCCCTCCGCCACATTATCCCTTCCCCCTCCCCCGTATCATCCCCTTTCTCCCCTTTTCCGTCCTTGCTTATTCTCCTCATTCCCTCCTCCATGCCTCCATGCTTTCCTCCTCTCTTTCCTCCCTTCCTTCTTCCAATCCTCCCATCTCTCCCTCCTCCCTCATCGCCTCATCGCCCTCTCTCCCTCTCTCCTTCTTCCCTCCTCCCTCCTCCCTCCCTCTCTTCCTCCTCCCCCTCTTCCTCCTCCCTCCTGCCTCCTCGCCCTTCTCGCCCTCTCCCCTTTTCTCCTCCTTCCGCCCCCGGCCCAACGCGGGCCCGAGACCCGAGACACTGGAGCGCAGGAGGGGTCTGCCGGCGCGCGAAGCGGTCGTTGCAGGCGCTGGCATCCTGGCAGGGAGCAGGGGGCAGAAGGCATAATGCAGAAATGTGTGGTGCGTTCAGCGTGCTCGTTTTTTGTTGTTTGGTGCTAGGCTGTGAACGATCCAGCGTTTTGGTGTTATGGGCACGCAGTGCTGTACGCGGTGCACGGTTGTTTGTACGAGCTGCAAAACTGGGCCGAGTCTTGCCCTTGCCACTCTCAGCCCTTCCAGGAGAAGGACGGCTTTTCCCCTGGAAGGCCGTACTTTGCAAGACGCAACGAGTACATAGGGGAAACGGGAGTGGCAGTGTCCAGCTGCCCCTTGCGCGGGCGGCGGGCGCCCGAGCTGGCTTCAGGCCGCCACAACTCTCACCTTGCCGACCTTGCACACCAATGTCTGGGAATGCTGCTTCAACGAACACAGCGGCTGGAGAGAGAGCAGAGGGATTTCATAATCCGTGATTTTGAACTAGCAAGGACCGCCCTGACAGAGGTTATTTCAATCAAGTTCGCGCACTGGGAGTACCTTCCCCACAAGACATGCATACTGGGGTACACTGGCGATGACGGCGCTACTGCACGCCATGGGCTTCGTGACTGCATTCGGCAATACAGTGGCATGACACAAACTGAGAGGGACTCCCTTTGGCCGTTGGCCAAAAGCATCTTGGATCCAGCGTCACCCCTGCATGAGGAGCTCGTGCGTTTCACAGTGGGCGAGGAGCCCCTGCGCGTGTTCCCTGGCCTTCATCGTGTGGCGGGGGAAATCTTGGGGATCCCAGTGTGCGAGAGATCAATAGAGGCGAAACATCGTCATGCCAGGCTGGCGTCGTCACGCGCCCCTGCGGCCTCAGGAGCGTTTGTCAACGTACACCTTAAGCTGCCAGATCTCCACAGGCGCCTCCGTGCTGATCCCGAGCTCTTCCAGCGGCTGTGCAATGATTTAGATGTTTACCGAGTCTCCGTGGATCGGGTGCTGGGCGAGTTGAACCTGCAAGGGCACCCAACGATTATGCAGGAATATGGCTTGCGTGGCACAACCAAGAGGTCAACGCTCCGAGACGTGCTTTATCGACTGGATGGCAAGACTCAACAGAAGCAACACACAGCGCTGCGGGGAGCCTTCCCCAAGCCCACAAAGGACGACCAGAAATCGCTAGACAAGCCCAAGCGAGAGGACTCTTCCCACCACGGCCTGCGGCTGCTGTCACGGTGCGCCTTGCAACAATTCCGTAAGACTGCCAAGAAGCACGTGTTCTACTCCATCGCGCTGGAGGGCGGGGAAGTTCCGCGTTTGAAAGATGCGCTGGACGGCACCAGATCGTTACACTGTCCTGCCTTGCTGCCACTCACTGACGCTGAGTACACGCCACCTGCCCTGCTGCCAGGGCCCCACGGGGGCGACGCACGCGAAGTCCCCCACCAGCCACACCTGCAGGACGCCCAGGATGACGCAGGAGTGCTTCGCCCACGCACGCTGCCAGTTCCGCAGAACCTGCCCGAGACATACGCCCCGAAGCCGCAGCACACGCACTTGTTGTTCAAAGTGGTGCACAAGAGCCCAAAGTCCCGCCACATCATCAACCCGCCTCACTCGAATTTGTCAGCGGAGGACGTGGCTATCAGCGTCCACGAGCTCGTTGCCTTCGAGAAGCAAGCCGACGGATCGACCGAACTTCTGGCGGCTCTCTCAGGCGTGCACCTCGCAGAGGCGATGCCCGACGACGCCGTTGGTGACCAGGGCGGCGGAGATGACCTTCATCTTCATCTTGATCCAGCGTCCACGCGCTTGCTCTCGAGGCGGCACATCGAAGCGCTCCCGCGCTTGGGGTGCGATTTCCTCCAATGGGAAACTGGAAGTGGCATCGTCTATCAGCCCAAGACCTGGCCCCGCGAGGTCCCCCTCGAGCTGCGCGCAGTGGCAGCAGAGGTGCTCACCGATTTGATTGTTACGGGGGCCAACCCAGGCGCAGATGTCTGCTACGTCACAGAGAGGCCAGGCCACGACACCGACCCCGCCGATGAGATCATCCACACAGTCCTCCAGATCTTGACAGATATTCTTTGGGTCACCAGCGTAGACAACGACGATGGCGTCTTCATCTCGTGGAACCTGACGGAGCTTGGCCTTAATAGCTTAGACGCCTTCGAGAAGCTGCGGATGCCCACGCCGGCTGTGCAGCCGAGGGTTGGCATCAAGGACAAGGATATTCAGACGCAGCGTTTTATGAAATATGCACCCTCCCCACCCTCGGCAGGGGACAACCTCGTATCTCACTTTGGTCGCGCACTGTGCGTGGCAGATTTGTGATATCCGAGTGGGCGGTTTTTTTCATATTCTCACCCACCCGAAACACAGAAACGCGCTCCCCCCCCGCTCCTCCGCCACCCAGGAGAAGACTGTATTCGAGCTGATCTGCGACGCTCAGCAAGCAGGGTGGGGCGGTCAGCTCCTGCCTGCGAAAGCGAAGGGCGAGAAGGGGCCTAAGCCACCGTTGCCTCTCCCGTACGACCCCTCCAGCAGCGACTCCACGAAAACGTGGTATTACAGTAGCACAAAAGATTCGGTACCCATCCAATATCTCAGGTGCCTGCTCAGCGGCAATCTAGTCGTCCCGCACAACCAGCAGGCCATTCACTACGCGCGCATGATCAAGGATGAGCCCGCGCGCTTCGCCCTGGAGGACGACGCTGGGGTGCTGGCACCCAGGCCCAGCAAGAGAGCACGCACTTCGAAGACAGCCGCCCCGTCGCTGCTGCCCCTCGAGGACCAGGGAGTCAAACACTCCAGAACAGTTTCTCCCTGTTGGACTTCGTATGGGGCCATGTGGCTTGAGCCAAAATGGCATGAGCCACAATGGCTTGAGCCCGCATGGCTACGGACTGTGGGGGAGGAGGAGGAGGAGGAGGAGGAGGAAGGAGAGGAGGAGGAGGAGGGATGAGTAGGAGGAGGTAGGAGGAATAGGAGAGTAGGAGGAGAGATGATGTGAAGGAGGCGAGGAAGGAGGAGGTGAGGTTATGATTAGTTGAAAGGGGAGGAGTGAAGTAGATGAGTGAGGAAAACGGGTGATGCGGATGGATGAGGGGATGGTGGGGAGGAGGAAATTAGTGCGGAAGGAAGGAAGGAATATAGGAACCACTATAAGCCACGAAGTCCTATTAGTGGAGCCAAAAAGTCATTAGCCACGCAGTCAACATTCCACACACTAGGGACGTGGAGTAGTGAGGAGGAGGATTACGATGAGGAGGAGGATGGAGTAGGAGGAGGAATGAGAGGAGGTGTATGAGGTGAAGAGGAGTTAGGATGATGGTTAGGGAAGAACGGAGGAAGGGCGGTGCGGTGTATGATGATGACGAGAGGATTCGGGGTATGAAGGTAGGAAGGAGGAAGGATGGTGAGGATGAGGACCGTGGGAACAAAGGGACGATGATTAGAACGGAGGAGGAGGAGGGAGCTATTTAGAGGTAGAGAAAAGGAGGCTGTC